GATCAGCTGCAGGTTTCTCCGATGTGAATCATTTTCAAGCAAAGAAATAAATGATTAAATGTCCCAAAACGAATATGTGAGATGATTAATGAAAAATAATGCCACTTAATCCTGAATGAATGCCTTATAAATGTTCCAACATTAATTCATTACATATCCGACATAATATAATGCGCGTTATCTAACAAACAATGCCCCAAAAACACGTAGTTTAAACTATCCCCTGTATTTCATTTTCTGATCCCGAAGAAAATCAGCTGAAATATGAATATATTTGAAATTTTCATATTTATTTTTGTTCGTTTCTAGTACAGAGATAACAACAAAAGAAAAATGACTCAAAAACTAGAGTTGAGTCAAAAGATTGGACATCTTGTTTCTTCCTTCTTAGTGATTAGCATAAATATTTGGTAATGATTATAGAACTTAACATGAACTAAAGCCCCTCCTTCACTGAGACCTATCCACACGAACCTTAACTGAATCCTATCTCTCTATTATCTCATTATCCTTTGGGGCACATCATGTTTAAATAACAGTGTCGTGAACATTAGTCTAAATGAAACAACATACCGGGAAACTACCGGGTCAAAAACGAAATAATTTCGCAAACAACCACCCCCAGCGTGTTGTGGGGTCAAACATCTGCATGTCTTACTTATCAAGAACATTTCTTTGTGTTAAATCCGTTTGAGTTTGAAGTTGTATTTTTCATGTTGAATGCAACCTTTCCTCTCTCCTTGTCTCATCTACGCTTTGTTCCTTTCCTCTCTTCCTCCACTAGCCATCTCACCTTCCTTCCTTCCTTCCTTTCCTCCCCTCTCTCTACGTGACGTTGGATATGGGGTCGCTGATCTTCAGACACCTCCAGTAGACGGTTCTGAACATGGTGAGGAGAGCGAGGAGGATCAGGAAAACCCAGGAGACGTAGATCCCTTTAGAGTCCTGAGCGGGACGCCACGTTCCAGCCTGAAGAGGGAGATTAGATTAAACACACACTTTAAAGGTCACCTATTATGCAAAATCCACTTGTTCTGGTGTTTATCCATCAACATGTGTCCCCTCTGTGGAAAGAGACTCTGAAAGTTTCAGGAACAAAGATTCTCTCTCTTTTTGATCCTGATCCATTTAAGAATTTCAAAGACACACCCTAGTTTTGACAATTTTTTTTTATGACAAAGTAGTAAAAAAAAAGGAGGGTTATTTTACCCTCCCAAAGTTTCAGGTTAAACTATTAGGTTGTAAATTATTTAGGCCAACGTTGATGTTAATTAACTGGGGTTTTTATTAAGCCTCCCTAATACCCTAAAAAACGGTAATTAGCTCCGGTCGGATCACACACACAATGGTTAGTTGTTATAGAATCTTTCATTTTTTTAACAATTTCCCTTATAGATTTTTTCCTTCGTAAAACCCTTCGAACGTCTCCTTCAGAATAAGGTTTTAAGTTTTTTAGGGACCAAACCATTGTTTAGGGTGGATAATAAAAAATTATAACCAAAATTACTAACGACATATTTTATTGACCAACAACTTGGTCGGCCCCGGTTTAGCAAATGGCGTTATCCTTGTAATAGTTAGTTTTTTTTTATTCGTTACATAAAAAAAGTTTAGTAGTTTTTTTGTGTTTTGTAGTTTTTTATTCCAAGTATTAGATTTTAATTCCAAGGGAATAGTACGACAAAAAAAGTAAAGTTACATAGGTGGTCCATAAAAAGTCTAAATATATGTTTTTGTAACAGGAAGACCTTCACAAACCGAGGGTTTTGGGCTTTTGTCCTAAAAAGTAACGGTCCCCGGTAATGGGGTATTAAGGGGGGGGACAAGGTCCGGGGACAAAGTTTCACCCGACTAAAGAGACCCAGACAATGGAAACTACGTTTATTCCTCGGGGGGGAAAGGGTGCCGGGGGAGACTCTTTCCTAGTAAACCAATGTTTCCTTTGAAGGTTACCCACCGAGATCCCCTCCCCGCTAGGGTCCACTATTCTATCCTCCCCCCCCCCCCCAATGGAACTAACGACTGACTCGAATTACCAATGTTGTCGGTTTTGTAGCAATCCTTAAGTATTTTCACCGGTTTTTAGACTAGCCCCCGAGTAAAAAGTTCCCTTGTCCCA